AGAGCTAAAAATGTTACAAAAATATAGGGATTATGAGTTCAAGATTAAGTGTGTGTGTGGGATCTCGCTTACATCAATATCCTTGCTACCCATCTGCTGCATCAGGCGAATCACCTCAGGCCTGTAGCAGGGCCCATAGTCGGTCCAACCAGCGGCAATCGCTTCCGCTGTCATATTTGTAGTATCTGGCCGTGTGCCCCAGCTGCCATCCAGCTCACATTTGCGTATAGCAAATTCTGTTTACCAAACATCAAATCAAAGGTGAAGAGATTAAAACACCAGGATTAGTAACAGTTTAGGCCATAAAGAAGGTACTTTGATTTCGCTCATTCGGGGCGGCTAACAGGCTTACAGCCTAACAGCGCTGTTATCACCCCATGTGAACTAACAGCCTATAACTGCTGTTAAACAGACCACTGTTAGCGATCTGCTTTTACAGTCGCTCACTAAGGGCAGCAGCTCTAACAGACCATCAGCGCTGTTATCACCCCATGTGAACTAACAGCCTATAAATGCTGTTAAAAAGACCACTGTTAGCTCTCTCCTTTTACAGTCGCTCACTAAGGGCAGCAGCTCTAACAGACCAACAGCGCTGTTATCACCCCAAGTGAACTAACAGCCTATAACTGCTGGTAAACAGACCACTGTTAGCTCTCCTTTTACAGCTCACTGTTAGTTGTCTCGTCGTAAGTGGTTCACTGTTGGCGCTCTCTTCTTGCGCTCGCTCGCTTGCTAACGATCCCCACTGCTTTCGAATGTTAGCTCTACCCCGGCCCCTGGCATTTGGAATTTCAATCAATTGACTGCCCCACAGGTGACAAGTGCTGAGTAGTGCAATAATGTCAATCGAATGAATCATTGGTGTCAGGATCGAGGCGGTTGGCGGTTGTATGCAAAACGAGGCCAGGACAATGCTAATCGTATGCATTTTCATCAAGAAAATTCAATTTGTGGAGCTGCCCTACAATTAAGTAATCGATTTGTGGCTCGCTTTCCTTGCACTACGCCCACCTGACCAGTCCAGCACAGCTCAGTCCTCCACGTTCCAGTTTCGGTAAGACCTCCAACTGCAGTCCTCCCCGATGTCCTGACGGGGGTGTGGCTGGTATGGCTTGGGCTGTCTGCTAAACGGTTAAACGAATGCGTGACGCCGTGAGGCATGCAATGAATACGAAATCAAGTAATTGTTTGCCAAAGTGCCGACTAGTGATCCATATAATTTAGGCCACAATGTTTAATTTGAAAGGGAAATATTCCCATGCTCGATCATACGCGTATTTATGGGTCACTTCTTAATCAATACTTGAGGCGAAAAGGCAACAGGACTTCCCCTGATAATAGCTTTCTTACTTTCTATAGCTCTAGTTTCTAGATAGTTGTAAAACTTACTTCGCGGATCGACACCATGAAAGCCCGCCGGGCAATGCATTCGTGCCATGACTCCCGCAGGTGTTGGGGGCCAACAGGTCAGCGTGTCCCAAGTAAAGTTGCAGTAGATGCCTGAAAATATATCATAGAACATTGCCATGAACGTAGATAACCTCACAAGTATAACATCCCTTCCCACAAAATTAATAGCCAGAGTAATTTCAATGATTCAGCAGTTACTTTAATCGGTCAAACAATCATCTACTCCTCCCACAGCATTAGGATGTCCAGAAGCTCCTTCAACTTGTCGGCCTTTAGCCGACAGTTGGAAACTTTTGGCCGGAGTACACATACGCCGATTTATGCATGGCCATTCGATGGGGATCGCTTGTGGCCACGACAATATTCACCATTGGCCTGCTTCATATGTTTCATCATAATCCATGTATTGCATCCGCACATCATATTCTCGACCCCAGCAATCGATTGACATTAGATTAACGCTCAATGTAGGATCCATCAAGGGCGGTGCAGGGACTTGTGTGCATTTTGGGTCTCTCTTAAATATATCACGGAATAGTCCGAAACGGAATACTGTTGTGTAGCTTTCTGGTGACGCTTGTTTTTGGGTTAGACGTTTTTTTGGTAGAGGCCGAAAGTATGCCTCAGACTTTCGTAACTTTTTGCTAGTTCCTGTATGGTACACCAGCTGATCGACGGAACAAGGTGGTAGAGGTTCCAGGTGAAGAGAATTTTAATTGTAATAATGTTAACAATTTGGAAATGGCAAATGTCCCACTTTCGCTGTTAACCGGGTTGTGCAGGAAGTTCAGCTACTGCCACGGTCTTTTCAATTCTGGCCGCGAGTCGATCAAGTCGCTTCTCAGACTTAATAAACCCAAGTTATAGTGCGAAAAGCTTAAAATGATTACAAAGATATTCCGAAAATACATGAAGATAAATACAGCAGTCGCTGGGCCGCTTGGAATAATCAAAAAAGTGCCAAACGCAAATAAGCGGTAAGACGGGCCTACATTTTTGTTCGTGTCATTGTTAAGCAGAAAATTGTGAAATTCTCTCTTCTCTTTTTTTTCGTCTTTGCAAGTGCAATTTGGCACTTAGTACAAATATTTTAAATCACCTTTAAACCATAGTTGAACATCAAAGGCATTCAAATATTTCAATTCGCCGCTATTAGCCGCATCTAAAGCCGAGAGAAGCCGCTGCAATTCGAAGAGAATTAATTTAATTCGCACCTCCGAAGCCACCGTCTGGAAAGGGAAGCCGCAATTTTATAACCGGGAAATGTCGGTTTAATAACCCTTCGTTTTAAATTGTTGTATACATATCTCTAGTTTTTTTTGCAAACCCCCAAAAGCAAAAAGGCTTCTTCTGCCTCTTGCTTCTCGCAGTTTGCCTGTTGCCTCTTTTTAGCGTTGCCGCTTCTACGGCAGTAACTGGTTGTTGCTGCTTGCTGCTTGCTGCTTTCTGGTTACTCCATCCTCCAGCGGTTGTTAAACTTGATGACTGATGCTCATTGAATCTAATACGAATATGAATATGAGTGTGAATGCTTATTGACCATAGTGGCCAAGCGTAGTAGAGGCAGCACTGCCCCTATTGAATTATCTACACCCTTAGACGTAACAAACTACTTTCAGGAGGTGTCTGCCCGATTGGTGACCGAGCGCGTGAGCCAGCAGGCCTTTCTGCAGCTTTCCAAAACCTCTAATCGCGCAGTGCAAAAAGCCATAGCTAGCTCCAAAAGAGCCTTGGGGGAGGCCCCTAAGTAGGGCTTTCAAATTGAGAAGATAAATTATTGATTTAATAATAAACAATACAACATTGTGCGTACGCCTCAATACTTCGACAAGCGCATGGACGCGTGTATGTACATAAATAATTCCTTAGGCTTAATTGAGGCAGTGCTGGGCAAGATCCTTGTTGTCTGCACGCAAGCGCATAGTCGTGTAAAGCTGACAGTAATAATTGTATAAATATGTATCTGGTGTAACCACGCCTCACAATTTCTGTACATAATGTATGGCTTAAATAAAACAAACGAAACACGTGACAATGGCTTCTCATTCGTGATTTCGCCGCTGGTGTTGCTTTTGCGCGATCGATCAGACACGGCGACACTGCTGGTGCTGACCATTAGAACACTGGGAACCTCGCCAATGGATAGCTCTGAGCTGC